TTTCTCAAAGTACATTGAAATTGAACGACTCACCGACAAATCGAGCGCAACTGTGGTTAATAAAATTAAGAAGATTTTTACTCGACATGGCATTCCTAAAGAGCTCTGTTCCGACAATGGTCCAGAATACACAGCGGCATGTTTCAAACAGTTTGTCAAAGAATGGGACTTTAAACACACTACTTCAAGTCCTCACTTTTCGCAGTCCAACGGTTTCGTGGAAAGAGCAATCCAAACTGTTAAGAAGAGTTTGAAAAAAGCACATGATGGCAACAAGGACCCTTACCTTGCCTTGTTAGTCCTCAATACCACTCCTGGAAACGACAACAAGTCACCAGCTGCGCGCCTCTTCGGTCGTCAACCACGTTCCACATTGCCTTCCCTAATCCAACCTGCATTTCCTCCTCCCCCTCCTCCCAAAGACACCCGAGCGAAGACAAAAGAAAGATATGATCAACACGCTAAAGATCTACCTGGTATCCAACCAGGAACTGTTGTTCGAATCCGTGCGAAGGAAGATGAGAAATGGAATCAACTTGGTAAAGTCGTGGAGAAGTGTGCCGAGCCACGGTCCTATCGTGTCCTCAATGACAAAGGAAACATTGTGAGACGCAACCGCCGCCACCTTATCCCGTGTAAGGACAGATTCCAGATCCGGAATGACTTTGATTATGATGATCTAGAAGTGACAATTCGACCCAGTTCTCCAGAACCACCAAACGAAATCGTCACAAGATCTGGTCGAGTCGTTCGAAAACCGTCTAGATATAGCTAGACAAATAAACGTTCATTCACGCAAACTTTATTAACTTTATATTTGTTTAATCTCCAACGGGAGATGTTACATATTTGTTTTGTTATTCTGACGCATGTTATTTAAGTCTTGTAATTACGTCATACAATGCGTTCGCGCCAAATATATGTTTTTATATTCTCTGTCTTAAAAACGTGTGTATTCAAACAGAACACTACCACCTAAAGAATTATAAAGAAACACTTGGCTGCTCACCCAGCACCACCTACAAAAAACCATACTGGATCCAACCCTGACTGAATTAACATTAATTAATAAAGGTTTATACTTTTATATGTTATCATCACCATCATAGAAAGATTTTCAAATTTTGCTTGGGGAGTTGCGGTATGGGTGTGAAGAAAAATTAAGGGGCGGAAAGTGAGCGAGGAACACGTAGTGTGCTGAGTAAAATGCAGCAGGCTCTGAGGGTACAGTCACTAGTGGGGACACAGTTGGGATAAGGTTGGGGGCAACGACCCTAGGATAGAGGCCCGCCAAGGGGTTGTGACCGACAGGCAACATTCCTTAAAAAGAGGCAACAGACTATCTAAAAGAGAGCAACAGATGACATCTTTGACTGGGAAAAACGACACATTGCGATTTGTGTTATGGGTCAAAAGTGACAGCTACATTTATTACTATAAAACTAGAAAATACATGCATGCAGAAACCCTCGCCTTGCTGACAAAACCATTGTATTTTCCAAACATGAAGTATCTAAAGTAGTTGTCATGGGAACACGATAATTTTTTAAGAATATTCTTACAACTGAAGGGTTAGCGAAAAATCCCCTAAAAATATCACTTTTAATTAAAATATTATCAATTTCCCAACCTCTATATTTTAGGTATGATATTATACTTAAATATAATCTTCAATTTAAGGTAAAATTCAAACACAAACGCTTCGCAAAACGTTTTACAGTCACTAGTGTTCTTTATAAAACTAAACTGCCTTTGAAAATGGCTTTATCGATAAACTTTGAGTTTGCAATAAAATGATTTCAAATTCACGCTTGCAAATAACTTTGCTTTCTTTTTTATTTAAAAAATTCAATATAATAAAAAAGGGAATCAATATTAAAGATCCACTGAAATTATATGCTGTCTTGTTCAGTTGTTTCATATACGCAGAGGCCGTCGGGTTTTAAATTAAGCCATTATAAAATTAATATTTAAAACAAACTTACCTTCGTTAACGTCGGCTCCCGTCTTTTAGCCTATTCTTTCGCAGTTTCTTTCCGAGAGAGCTTTTGAGATTTACAAAAATGCGAGCAAAAATGAAATATATTTGCAAGAAATTTATCAATCATCAAATGAAGAAATGTTTGATATTTCGCTGTCGTCATGCAGTCGTTATAATGCAAACTTTAAATTGGACCAATCAGTGTCCGCTATTCATGAAGGTCCGCCATATATTTGAGATCAGTGAGGATGACCACCCACGGTTGGTCACCCACGCCGGCGATATTTGATGAACTTTAGACTCAGCTAATGCTTTCGTTTGCCCGGGTGTAAATAGCCAGGGGAATTAGTACCCTCGCACGGCGCTTCGCGCCGTCGGCTCGGGAACAAGCAACAAAGCAGCTGTAAAATTGGAGACAAGTGACCTAGGTTACGCCCTTGGTGAGCCTCAGGATATTTCGAGATTATTGGCCTTATTTCTAGTCTTAATTAGTTCAAAATTATTATTCAATTATACTGCTGTCATTTAATCAAATCAGCATTTAAATTTCTGGGGTGGGAAAACTTTTTGAGGCACAGCGGTGAAAATTTTTTTTGTGGTGCGCACCACCCACCAGAAAATCCATCAATGATTGCCATCAGATAATTAAGTTATTATCAAATAATGGTATTAATATTATGACTTTGCTTTTGGCTATTCTGCATTTTAATGCCTTGTCCCATGTTTTGTGATATCTATAACCAATAATTCCTGCAAGATAAAAGAACAATCATATTAACACTAATATTATTACACATTCTTCCACCTGAAAAACCGCATTTATTACCAAGAATTGTGAATGCATGCTTCTTCTCATCCATGAAACTGCATATACACTTAATGAAGTTCCTTTTACATAGTACTGAAATGCCAAATCATTATCCACTAGTTTAATCATAGTTTCTCTGTACCATAACCAATTTCGTGAAAGTCAAGACAATCACAGGGAAAGATAAGAATTTGTTCAAGAGAGAGGAAGGATCCATAGTTATGTTAATAAAAATATTCTTGTTGTAGTTATTTGTGTATTTCACTCTGTTGTGGAAATACAAGTATGGTTTGAACATTGAATCACATTCTAGAAAAATCCACACTCCAACTATACATGGAGGAAATTTATGCTGTCTGGAGAAGAAGAGTCTACTCCTGAGAATAGCGAAATACACTATAAATAGGACGGGGGGTTGCAGTTTTACAATTGCAATTCCAAAACCTTCTTGGTGAGCGCGCATCCAGACCGGCTAACAGGCTCATGCCTTTGACAGCTCCTCACCGACCCACTCACCAATTTCTTAATGACGCCATTGATTGTTCCCCCACTTCTGTTTTATTGGCTATGCCACTGCTCACAACTTTAAATTTAACAGTTTCACGAGTCTCTTATTAAATATTTGTCACTTGATTATATGGCAAAATTGGATCAGTCAGTTTACTGTATTTGGGCCATTAACAGTTGTTAACAGTACACTACTTACTATATGTTGATGTCACATGACAAGTGAATCCAGTGTAGTGGATTCACTTTTGCTGTCCTCTCTGACCTTGTGCTATAAATCCTGGTCTATAATAAGTGTATTAATAAATGATTTATTGATTTTCACATCATAATCTGTGTAAGCCACATCGCCAGTGCTAAAACAAAACAGTAAATCTTATGACAACAAATTTTACAAGGTTTTTTATGACTTTTATGTCCAATATTGAAATATTTGCAGTTCATATTGACATGATTGATGAACGAGTGTTGAATTTTGACAAAATATTTTTTTAATTTCGTACTATCCGGCCCATAATTCTTACCTGTGAAAAGAATTACTCGCTTTTATGTAAAGTAAATTGTTGCATCAGCAAGCGGAGCAAAACGGCACTTTACTTCCTTCCTTCCAAGTTGTAAAAAAAAACCAGAAAATACGAGAAAATAATATGTTTTTAACAAAAAACACTGCCAAAACTTGGGGGTGAAAACGTCGTCTGAAGCCCAGGATCGCGGTTGGTCAGTGGCAATTGGGTGAGAATTACGGACCAGTTGTCATGGAAATGGCGAGAGCAAACGTCAAAATCCGCCATTTTTTTGGCTTCACTTCGTTGACTGAACGAAGCATAGGAGCAGAACCTCCAGTTATTATACAGCTCAGTGGTTTATCTTTGTTATTTCTTTACTATAGATATCTCTGTTCGTCTAAGAGAATGATAAATACGTTGAAAAATAATCAAATTATGTTGAAACGGTTAAATTGAAAATCTTTGGTTAAACCAACAAATCTTCTGTACGAAATTACAAACAAGTGCTTGCGTGGTATCCACGCGTCACGCGTGAGATACTGGAATATCCAACGTTAGATCCACCGTGGGATATTATAGCATCTCACACTGCATTGGGAAATTATGAATTTGAGTGAAATACCGTAAAGCGTAAATTACATTGTCACGTGGTACAAATGCTGTTTTATTGTACAGTTTGAATTTGAAGTATAATATTAGAGAATAAGCATATATTACTGCTTATGAAAGCTCCCGGACAATTTCATCACATTTGGATACGATTCTTCACTTTTATGTATATATACATATATATATATATATATATATATATATATATATATATATATATATATATATATATATATATATATATATATATATATAGTACAATCTGCAGACATGCATGTTTCGGCGTTCAACGCCTCGTCAGTGCAGCTTGGTACACGTCTAGATACGTGAGACACTCGTATTTATACCCCATGAACTTGCTCTCACCAAGGCATGTGGTACAAACACGGTGACCCAACGCATCTACACATGCGCAGAGCGTAATGGGGCCAGAGTGCTCAAACGACCACATGGGAAGTGAGCTTTGCATTATCGCTAATAGACACCCATTAACAACTCCGCAGAGTGCTCAACAACACCGAAGTGAAGGAGCGTAATAGTACATATAGTACAATAGTACGTATATATATATATATATATATATATATATATATATATATATATATATATATATATATATATATATATATATATATATATTAATTGGTTATTGTACACTCTGTGATATGTTCTAGAGTGTGTATTATATAACTTCCATACCCAGCGCTAGCAGAAAGATGTTGTCTGCTGCGGCTGGGTCTTGGGTATATATATATATATATATATATATATATATATATATATATATATATATATATATATATATATATATATATATATATATATATATATATATATGTATATATATATATATATATATATATATATATAATTTTATAAAATTACTATATTTTACAATAGTTTTTGACATGTTACAACAGGTTACACATAATGTTTTAAAGAATTGAAACTACATTTTTAAAAAGTAGGTTTAACATGTTGTAACTTAATTGAAAGAATGCATAATAGAATATAGCAATTTAAGTGCAACATGTAGTGTAACATGTAGTGTAACATGACGAAACATGTAGTGATGTTACTCAGACTGTATATTTATTAAATAATAAATAAAAGACAAACACCAATTTTGTGTGAATCACTGGTAGATGAGCTGTAAATTTATAATATATACCATGCTTTATTTGTTCAATGCTGCCCTATAATTAAAATTTTAAAGATTGATAAAATATGTGAAAAATGCAATGGTCAAGAAAGATTATACTATGTAATAATCTATAAATACCATGTCTGCCTCCCTGACGGATTTCTCTTCTTAACTGCCATAATTTTTTAGCCAGTGAATAACTATCCAATATACTTTGCTTAAAATAAGGCATTCAAATTACGCCATTTCCCCGCCCACCCCCGCCGACTACCAACCCCCTGGCTTTCCAAAAAGAGTTTAATCAAACACAGAGTTATGCTTCTAATGTACAGTGCTACAGGAAAAACTATATCTTTAAAATTAAAACTATATCTTGAAAATTAAATGTATACCAGGGTATGATTTCCTGTTGTAGTAGCAGGCTGCTACATGCGTAACTAGGATACTTGCGTTTGCCCTGTTAATAGTGAGGCAACCTCGCAAGCCAGGCTCTCTACTTCCGCTTTCCCCTGCTGCGCCGTGTTAAGGAAGGAAGGGAAGTAGAGAACCTGGCTTGCGAAGTTGATAGTGATGTTCAAATTTGACGTCCACTACCGCTACTGTTAAGGGACGATTAGCCAGATGAATTTGATATATCCGAACAATCAATCATGTGTTTACTAAGCTAGTGAGAAGTAGAGGAAGTGGCATAGTGGAAGACAAATCCGAATCTAGTAAAATATACTTCACCCTCACACCGCGTTATGCGTATATATTAAGCTAACAAGTACCTAGCGAAATGCTATAGGCGCGTCATATACACGTAAATTATATAATGTTGACCAAATACAGCTTGAACGAACAGTTACAAATTTCAAACCATGAAGGGTTTCTCAAAAGTTCCATTCTTCAAGTAACACTTGTTGTCTATTCTAAAACGAGAAGATACACATAATAAACATATATATATATATATATATATATATATATATATATATATATATATATATATATATATATATATATATATATATATATATATATATATACACTGTAAATTTCAGGGAGTTAATTTAACTCCAGTGGTATTATTATGAACCTAATTTTACTCCACATTTGGAGTTAATTGAGGTACAGTATAACTCCACTGGAGTTAAGTTAACTCCCTGAAATTAACAGTGTACCGGGTGTCCCAAAAAAAGTACTCCGGTTTGATTTATAATAACTTCTAAACAAGTAAAGCTATCAAACAGAAATAACTTGCATTAAATAGAGGAAGGACTAACTTAGATTTTGATATATTACAGTTGTATTTTACTTAAAAATTCACGGAGATATTAATGTTCAAAGTCGGGAGCATATTTTGTTATGTGTCTAATATTAGCGAAAATCGGCATATCAAATATTAACTCCAGCGTTTGTTTGTTTAATGACATATCAGGCTAACTTGTATTTCAGCGAATTGTCGTCAGGGATTGCATAAGGATATGGCGTAGATTTAGACATCTTACATCTAAGCTCATTGTTTCATTCCTGAAATATAAACGTTCGTATTATATTACGAAATATAAACGTAAAGTATTTAATAGGTCTTTAATACAAACTTAAAGGTAGATGAAAGACCATTCAAGGCAGGCGCCTAAATTTTTCTTAAATATCCTATATTTTTTATGCTTTTCATGGGTTGAAAACAGAGTTGAATATTTCTCGATTAGAGCAGGATGAATATTATTTTTTAATGAAGGAAATAATATTGCATTTTGCAAATACACATCACAGTATCAACGCTACTATTTTGTTACGTTTTGTTCCAAAAATGTTGGATGTCTCTGGGGAGTTGCTTGTTATGTCTTATGGAGTTGTATGGTTTGATATTTTCTCCGGCCAGCAATAGAGGTGTCAGAAATTCTGACACCCCTATCATTTAGCATATTTTTCAGATATTTTCTCCGGCCAGCAATAGAGGTGTCAGAAATTCTGACACTCCTATCATTTAGCATATTTTTCAGATATTTTCTCCGGCCAGCAATAGAGGTGTCAGAAATTCTGACACCTCTATCATTTAGCATATTTTTCAGATATTTTCTCCGGCCAGCAATAGAGGTGTCAGAAATTCTGACAACCCTATCATTTAGCATATTTTTCAGATATTTTCTCCGGCCAGCAATAGAGGTGTCAGAAATTCTGACAACCCTACATCAGTTAGCATATTTTTCAGATATTTTCTCCGGCCAGCAATAGAGGTGTCAGAAATTCTGACAACCCTACATCAGTTAGCATATTTTACAAATGTTCATGTATTTTGCAGACAGCAAATTTAATTCTGTTAAAATTCAGTTATTTGGATACAAAATGAAATATTTTTTCAGTAGTCCACACATTTAAGGAATTAAAAGATAAATTTTTCAGTTCTTCGCACAATTGGACTTGAAGTTTTATTACTTTTTGGGTTAAACCAATATTAGTTTGCACAAAGTATAAAAATGTAGCATAAAAATGGGCTAGAAATCTTGGTAACATTTCATACACTTAAAATAAATGTTTTATGCGAATACATTTTCGGAAAAATTTAGCGGAAAATAACAAAAATTTGCTTCAAATTCCTTCGAATCCGCATAATATCAAATTATTTTGATATTTTGCGGAAAAATTACGTAAATTCCGCACAATATAGCAAATAATACTCAAAATAGGCATTTTGGAATTTCTCAAAATTGTTTGGAACGCGTTATATGCTTCGCCTTTCGAATACTGTATGTCTCGATTAACAAAAAGTTCAAAGAGTTTGGATTTTAATACATGGTTTCCCGTGCAACACATTGTATGTGTGCAAGAGGATATACTTATACCAACAATTATGTTTTCCATTCGTTCTTTTTGCCTAATCGCCAGCCATACCTATTCCGATTCCTTATTGTTTTCCAGGTAACGTTCAACTATTTCTTTCAGGATTGAGTTACGGTTCGGACCATCAGGCTGTAAGAAAAGCAGGTAGTTCATATGGATATAATGCTTTTATAATAGTTGACTATTAAGTAAATAACACTGAAAATCTGCAAAGTATAGAAGTATGTTAATTAAAATAACTCGTGCCTTTCTTGAGTGATAGCCTAAACTGGAATATCAGCAAATACGGCCTCCTTGATTTTAGGAACGAGATATGTATTTGAAAAGTAACGGGAAAAAACAATATAACGTATTAAAAACGATTGATCTTGAAATGGTTTGCTCTTGCAGTTTTGTCTATATTAACTTATGCCCAAAGCAGTCCCTACTTATTGCATATCTCATATGTGAGTTGTTCGAGTTCCACATGCATGTGAAATAAGTAATTTTAAATGCGATATATTATAGTTTTACAAATTGGGCTATACTTTCACGTGCATAGGCCAAACGTCATGTACATGAAACTCAAATTTCATATCTGAAAACTTCGGATGAAATGAGCAATTTCACATAGGAAATTTTCTAATTTTCACATAAAATTTCTCATGTGAAATGGTATATGCGATACTTTCGTAAGAATATGTGACTGTTTGTGCTTAAAATTCGACATATATATAGAGAATAATACATGGGTGCGCGGGAATACCAGATTTATTTCGAGTGTTAACAGGAGAAATAAATCTGGTATTTCCAAGCACCCATGTATTTTTCTGTTTATTATATAAACAAAATTCAGTGAAAAAGATTAAAACGTCCGTGGCAATGCATTTTACAACAAATGATATTTTCAGACGTAAAAATATCGTATTTTTTACGTGTGTTTAAATACGATTTTTCTCAGTGGCCAAAAACTCTATATCACACTCAAGTTTATATAATAAAAATAAGTTAAGTTGTGGTCGGTTCTCTTGTGCATTTTGGAGGTTAGTGTTCTTCAGGATATTTTGTTTTTTCTCTTTCACCTACAAAACTATATCACTAACTAGGCCTTGGTTGTCGAAGAAGTGCATAGGCCTGTGATCAAATGAGCGATCAACGAACGAACGGACGAACGAACGAACGAACGAACGAACGAACGAACGAATGAACGAACGAATGAACGGAATGAATGAATAAATAATGATTGAATGAATGAATAGTTCTTATAATTCTGCTTGTTTTCAGAGAAATATTGCTTCTCACATGCGATAAAAAAATCAGCTGGTAAATATATGTTGTTACTCTACTAGTTGTATCTTATTTAGCACGTTGTGAATATTGCCTTATTAAATATGACCTAATACTACCACAGGTTGCGCATTTATTTATTGATTCTTATTTATTGCATGAGTAATTTAAAAATTCGTATTATCTTTTTACCTCATTTGCATGTGCTATTATATTTTATACACGCCCCACGTGGAAATCAGCATTTGTTGATGTGGTCAACGTGCTATCTGTCTATCTATCTACAACTATTCTCTGTAATTCTGGACGTACATTTTACCTTGTTGTTCTGGACATCTGTAGGATTCATTTCAGCATCTTCAGCTGGATCCATTGAATTTTCTTTCGACATCGCTTTGCACTAGCAAATATTAGCATATAAATAAACATGTATTTTGTTCTCTCTATATTTATTTTTCCCTAAGCAAACCTTTTCTGCTTTTACCAATGGGAGTTATTGCATGTCATTAAAAAGGGAAGCGTGTTGGCGTCAAACAATGCATGCATTCCTTCCTTCCATTATCAATGTTTACTATGAATTTCTTTTTATGTTTACATATCGCAACTGTTTCGGATTTAATTTTGATGTGTTGGTTTTTTTCCTTCAAAATACAGAGTTTTTCCTCTAAACACAAATTATATATTTTTGATCCACCCGTATAAGAAACAGCGCGTTTTAGTATTGACCAGGTTATGTCGAAATCTTGTTTGTTTTCTTTTTTATTTCAAATATATTGCAAACGTTCTGTATCGTTCGAGTAATTTTTGTGATTGAAAGACCTATTGTGGTTTCGGTATCGCTCTTAATTATGTAGTTAATGTCATGCCGATGTAGTGCTATGCTGTTTGTGTTGCTTGTTGTGACATGAACCCAGTTGCCTTGTATACTACTCATTGTCATAGTCTTGAATTTTTCCTGACGTGGGCATGCGTTCCTTCAATTGCAATTGTGTGTGTCCTCGCTCTGTGGCAAGTTTTTACTGCTAAAATGCGTGCATTGTGTCGAGTGTCATGGAACTATAGCTGACCTTAACTGTGTTAAGTTTGTCCATGGTGCGGCGGAAAATGTTTGCCAATCGATCAGGCTGAGGAAATTGCGTCCTATGTTGGTTTCAACACTCTTACCGAAAGGAGGGTTGAATCAAATGATGCTGCGTTGCCTATTTCTGCGCGGTTGTTGTGGTGTTTCTTTCATGTAGCCCAGTTTGTGATCGGAATTATTGTGACGTAGTGCATTTTGATAAAGATGAACAGTCTTCTGAAACGTTTGCTCGTCTGATGAGAGAAGTGAAATGCGTTTGTTTATGGATGTCGGTAGCTGTTTTATGATGTATAATGGATATCATTGGGTTTCCTTATAAGGCTTGAATTTTCCATTGCCGAGGTCGAAAGTGACATTTAAGAAAGTTACTATACGTAAATTTGCCTCTGCTGTGATTTTTAAGTTAAATTGTTTTTTGGAGTTCTTTTCTCGTTTTATCTGCCAAACGTGCTGATTTACTTTTTATAATAGAATCTACACAGGCCGATGTCACGCAGTTTTCTTTGCCAAATTTCCCCCCAGATGGTGTAGTATGAAAAGGCCTATAGTTACAAAATCGATGCTCTACCAACTGAGCTACACAGTCAGGGCGAATCGAAAACTGGAAATTATGAACTATATACTGAATGTCATAAATATGCTCGTTTATATTTAATACTAGTTCTGCAAGTGTTCCAACAATACTAGTTCTGCAAGTGTTATATCATTTTGTGTTTTTGTTCAGTCGGTAGTATGATAAGGAGAAAATGTATACGATATATCCCACTCGAGAACATTTTCTCCTTATCATATCACCGAGTGAACAACAACACAAAATAGTTTAACACTTCCAGAACTAGTATTGTTGGATGCTGAATTAATATAAACAAGTGTGTTTATGACATTCAGTATATTATAGTTCATAATTTCCAGTCTTTGATCCGTCCTGACCGTGTAGCTCGGTTGGAAGAGCATCGATCTAGTAACTCGAAAGGCGCGGCCGGGTTCGAAGGCAGGCAAAGTTTTCTGCTTGCACAATCTCTGGAAATTATAATATATCTCACTCAAGAACATTTTCTCCTTATCATATTACCGAGTGAACAATAACACAGTTATATGACATTGCAGAACCAGTATTGTTCGATGCTGAATCACTGCATATATATACGGTATATATATATATATATATATATATATATATATATATATATATATATATATATATATATATATATATATATATATATATATATATATATATATATATATATATATATATATATATATATGTAACAAACAGAACGGCTACGTTTGAAGAAGTTTATTAAAAAAAGTTATATTAGATACAAAAACTAAATTTTTGGCTGCATGCCACAGCCTTCTTCAGAGTGCCTAGCTTTTTACACAGAACATACTCATATATACAATAAATTATGAATAAATTACTATTGTTGGGCGAAATCATGACTACCATTAAGGCCTTTCCGGTTGGTCAACAACATTCCTATCCAAAAGTTTTCACTCTTAAGTACTTTACTATGGTGTTGATCAATAAGCATAAATTTTAAGCTCGAATGATCCGCCTCATGAACATCAATAAAATGATTAGTTATACTGCATGTCCGGCGCTTATGCTTAATGTGTGATTTGTAGTTAGCTAGTCTGGACTTAAAATTGGCAGTAGAGCCAACACCTTGCAAACCACAAAGTACGCACTCAGAACGATACACTGCATTACTGGAAGTGCATGTCAAAGATTTTAAAATAAGAAATATCCTTCCAGTGGCAGCTGCACGAAAGGAATTGCCAAAAATCAAAAAGTTCTTACAACTATATCACATGCAGCGCTTGGCATCACATTTGTAGCAGCCTTCACCTTCCAGTTTATTGGACTTATATGGGTTAGATGGTGCTAATAACTCCTTCAAATTGGCATTACGCTTATACGAAACAAGAATGGGACTCTCCGGTAGAATTTTTTTAGCCTGTTCATCACTATCTAAAACAGAGCGATGTTTACGAAAAATTTTTCGAATATCAGGAGCGCTAGGATTAATCTTGGTAACGATTAAAATAGCTCGAAATAAACCGTGCCGTTTCTCGTTCAACAGATGATAATAATCGAAAAGAATCCTTGCGTAAACTAACCCAAGTGTTTGCTAGAAATGGCTACCCCAAATCATTTGTTAGAGCCTCCATTCAACGTGTATTACACAATCAACCGAGAATTAACGATCAGGAGAATTGCATTTATATGAAGCTACCCTATATTAGCGAGGAGTTTAAGCGACGCGCTCTTGCTGCAGTCCGTCGATCGGGACTAAATAATATCAAAATCCATTTTCTGAACGGGAAGTCGTCATCACAGAGGTTTGCCCCACGGAAAGAAACAATGAGTTGCCCTAATAATTGCGAGACTTGCAAATCGGGTAAAAAAAACAAATCGTTGCCACAATAAGAGCGTTGTATACGAAATTGAATGCCTGCATTGCAATAAAGTTTATATTGGTGAAACTGGTAGGAAAATTGGCACGCACATTAAAGAACATTTGACCATGAATAAGCAAACCATGTACAAACATATTGCATCCCACAAAAGTAACGAAGATGACATGCCAACCATAACTTGGAGAATCCTACATTACAATATAAACAATGATGATAACGTAAGTGCATTGAAGCGGTTGAAATCAGGAAAAGAGCGGGGAACGTAATAAACGGATGCATTGGTAGAACAATTAACATTTAAAATATATATATTCTGCATGATACGCCTGAATAACAACATTTTAAATTTTAGCTCGTTATTGTCCACATTCCACCCTTTTTATTTAAATTTAGTCTAGCTTTGTAGTATATATTCAACGGACGTGATCTAGTTATAACATTCGCCTGAAGAAGCCTTAACCGGCGAAACGTTGGGACAAAATTTTTAATTTTTTTATTGCCTGTAGAAGTCTTTTTTAAATTTTTTTAAATAAAAAATTATATTCATATATATATATATATATATATATATATATATATATATATATATATATATATATATATATATATATATATATATATATATATATATATATATGCATTGTGGGCGGAAGGAAGGATTATCCAAGCGAAGCGAAACATGATGAAGAAATGAGTAAAAACTAAAACTGGATTATTTTGATTAAAAAGCTTAAAACTAAGTAAACTGATACTTCTAAATACTTCTGTTGCCTCTTATCATGGCACGGATGTGATTGGATTCCTATTCCTTATCTCAGAAACTGTGGCGATTTTGTTTTAAAATCAATCATGTCTTAATAACGGGTTAAATTCATCACTATTTACGACACAGCTAAAAACTTTCTTATTTTCTTTCCTAACAAGATAAACTTCCTCCTTTATCACGTAGTAATTTTGTATACGAGGTTGCTTGCACTGGTTGTGACAAAACCTATATTGGCATGACATATATAAAAATGCCTTTCTGTATACGTTTGAAAGAGCATGCAACTATAGGCTCTTTTCTAGTGCAGTGCATGGGCCAACATTTTTCTGAGTGTGAACACACTCAATTCTTAGCTGTTCTACAAGACCAGTTCTCATGCACTACTCAACGATCTTCCTTTGCCTTCTGACAATCCTTCTCCTATTGAAAACCTTGTTTTCATTAACTACAGAACACTTCACATAACTAAATCTAAATCTTACTAAAATACAAAGATTTCTTTCTAACGGGTTAAATTCATCACTATTTATGACACGGCTAAAAACTTTCTTATTTTGTTTCCAAAAAGATAAACTTCCTCCTAGCTTTATCGCGTAGTAATTTTGTATACGAGGTCGCTTGTACTGGTTGTAGCAAAACCTATATTGGCATGACATATATAAAGATGCCTTTCTGCATACGTTTGAAAGAGCATGCAACTATAGGCTCTTTTCTAGTGCAGTGCATGGGCCAACATTTTTCTGAGTGTGAACACACTTAATTCTTAGCTGTTCTGCAAGACCAGTTCACACTACTCAACGATCTTCCTTTGCCTTCTGACAATCCTTCTCCTATTGAAAACCTTGTTTTCAATAACTACAGAACACTTCACATAACTAAATCTATTACTGTTATTAAACTTTATTTAAAGAAGGTTAATTTACGAGGAATATGCCAGTGTAGCAAAAGCAAATCTTCCATTGGACCTTAATCTAACAATTACGACATTCTTGCTTTTCTTGAAGCACTGATCCTCAAACATATTTTGGTCAAGCCACATTTACTGTTGGTAATTTATCATTATGATAAATGGTAATTTATGGTAATTTATCATTATGATAAATTCGCGACACATTTTGAAATTATCAATAGAGTTAATCATAAAACCACAAGCATTACACAAGATTACTTGCTATAAATGTAATGTTAGGTAAGGGGTCAGTGGTTAGGGTTGGGGTTAGGGTTAGGTGCCGCGAAATTATTATTATGATAAATTCAAAATTTGCCGCGAATTTATTATAATGATAAATTCGGACGTGTTTAAGAATTTACTCATATAGTAAATTCAAAGGTGGAGCTCATGCTGAAATATATTGTGTTATTTATTGAGTTAAAAATGGCGTAAAAATTACGAAATTAAAAACACAAGTTCCATATGGAATTTTAACACTGAAATGTTTATATAAACACTTATACCCAAACTTAGCCAAGGCCCAAGACAGCGACAAAATTTATTAAAAACATCTGGTTTGTCTTCGACAAAATTCGTGTTTATGCCTTTCACACTTTCATGGTTGACAGCCACTAATTCATGAAGCTGCAGCCTTGTTTCCAGTTAAAGGATATTGGCAACCAAA